CAGACATACACGGCAATGTGAGTGCTTAAATACGCATACATGTGTGTATGTGGGTGTGCGTGTGTGCGTTCAGATTGCACACAGCATGCTCAACACGCTCAACACGCCATTTGGCAGTGCTGGAAAACACTGCGCGAAATCAGGGCTGTCTACCACAGTAGATGCCTTAAGCCTAGCAAAGCGCGCCCCCCCAAGACACAAACAAAATAAATAAAACCCTCCCGGAAAAGGGGTAGACCAAACGGACTAGCTATGGAATTTCAGAATTTGCGAAATCATTGCCGGAATAATGCCCTAAGCCTTATGCACTCCTCCCTCCCTCGCTGCCAGAGTATTTGAGCTTAACAAGCAAACAAAAAATATTGTTTGTTGCTTTAATAAATTCCCTTTGCCTTGGCGACAATTACTTACGGGCAATCAAATGTTAAAGCCTAAACGCTTGAGGAAATTTGTTGATTTAAGATAAAATATGATAAAATTGTTGAAAACTATGGGGAGTTGAGTTGGGATATTCTAGAAAACAATAACAAATCGAATTCAACTTAAAAGCTGCTAACTTTATGTCCTTCATCTCACATCAAACTTTCTATGTACATATGTCTAATTAACTTCAGTGTTTATAGTCCGATCCTTTTGATATTATATAAATGTATAACAAATCGCAAGTATGTGTCCTATTTTGTACGTAATGGAGGAGATATGCAAAAAGTGAAATATTTTCAATCTATATACTCTACATATACGAAACAACCAATTTGGTGACTGTAGCCATTATAAACTTCAAGTTATCTCAAAATCGATATTTATCGATATTATGAATATAAATTAAAATAATAATAATAATAAAAACATTCGAATCTTTACTAAATTAGAAAGAAATCGTGTCAAAATGAACACAACTTCAATAATCGCATGCATAAGTTAACTAAGTAGCTTTGGCCCAACAGCAGGCAACAATCACAACAATTCACTTAAATTTAGAAGCAATTCTATTTTTATAAATAGATTATGCCCACCTTCCCAACCTATCCACAGCATATGGCAACCAGCTGTGAGCCCATTGACTGTCCACCCATGTAAGACCCAACTCTATATATCTTTTTGCTGCCCATTAATATTGTTCGCAGAGCCTTTTGTACCGGGCGTTCATTCAACTTATAGCCAAGAGCAGGCAACAACGACAACAACAACAATAAGCGTTGTGACAAGCGACATGCAAAAAAAAAAAGAAAATATCGGCCTGAAACTGAAACTGAGACGCGCAAAGTCCTGGCCAAGAGAGGCTGCGAGCCAGCGGGTGTTTCGGGCCGAGGAAGGCAGACAAAAGTGTAGTAAAAACTGTGCGCAAAAGTGTGTCGACTTGGCAACAACAACAACAACAAAAGCAACAGCAACAACAAAACAGCAGCAACAACAAACAAATGAAATAAAAGTAAACCCATTTACACCACAGCTCGAAGAAGGATGAGCAGCCCGCTGCCAACTGTGACGGCAGGTCGGGGGCAGGGTGCATTCCGCTGTGTGGGCTGACGAGTGTGAGCTGACAACGTGAGGCGGTGGCGCCGTCTGCTTGGCAAGCGGCAAATGTGGGGCATTTGGCAGTCGTGGTCACAGTCGCAGTTCCAGTTGCAGTTGCAGTTGCAGTTGCTCCATCGCATTATTAAGTTCCTTTGACAGCGGGCCAAAAACGTAGACTGCCCGTGGATTGTTTTTGGCGATGGGCATATAACGAATTGTTTATAAAATGAACACGAAACACGAATGGCAAAACACGTGTCAAATCGCGTGTTAAGTCGAGAAAATTCGTGTTAAGTTGTGCCAAGTCGTGAGCAAGCAATATTAAGTCATGTCAAGTCCTCTAATATCGGGCCTAGTCGTGTCAAGTCAGGTGTGAAATTGTATTGCATCGTGTCATGTTCGTATAAGGTCGTGTCAAGTCGTGTTGAAAACTTTTCACTAAAGACAAGTAGTTTTAAGTCGTTGTGAAGGCGTGAGCAAGCAATATTAATTCATGTCAAGTAGATATTAATTCGTGTTGTATCGTGTCATGTTCGTGTTAAGTCGTATTGTGTTGTTTCATATCGATTGGAATAATATTCTATCGTGTCAAATCGTGAGTAAGTAGTGTTAAGCCTTGTAAAGTCGTGTAAGGTACAATTTGGTAAGGCAGGCAGCTTTAAATCGTATTATATTGTGTGGCTTTTCTGTTAAGTTTTAAGTCGTGTCAAAACGTATTTAGTCATATTAAGTTTGGCTCAATTGTATCAAAAGCGCATTTCATCTTCAAGTTGTGTTGGGACCTATAAGATGTCGTGTCGTGTTAAGTCGTGTTCAATAGTCTTCAGCCGTGTCAAATTGTGTTAGATCGTGTGAAATAGTTTTTTTCGCACAAAATCCCATTCAAAAAGTCGAACACGAAAGCGCAAAATGCGCTCAGCTCTGGCACTTCTAACCCTGTGTGGGAGTGATTGTGTTGCTGCTGTTCCTTCGGCTGCTTCAGTATCAGCTGCAAAACAGTCAACAAAACTGACATGGCCAGGCTAGCCCGTGCATAACAACAAGAACACAATGCATTACAGCAACAGCAACAGCAACGGCAATAATAACAAAAACAATGTAGACAGCAACTTTGTGTATTTATGGCACGAAATTGCGGGCACAGCAGCAAATTAACACAGAACGAATCCTGGCCAGCCTGTTGCCATTCCGTTAAATTGATTATTTGGTTGCGCTGCACAAACCCATACACACATGGACACACATGCACACTATTAAGCAGATGCAATTCCGCACGACTCGGTCATGGCCATCGGCAATAGCCAACACCAATGCAACTTTTGTTCAGCCAGTTGTCCTGGCTGACTGTTGTCCTGGCAGCCAGCCTGCTATGCAACTGATATGCATAAAAGCCGCATTCAAAACTGGGCGTGGCAGCCGCACACACGCAGTTATCGGCATTCACAGCACGTCGCCCAGTGAAGTGCACAAAATGCTTATAAATGGATTAATTCGATTGCAATATTCACATTTGCATGGCCCACGCTTTGGTTCTGGTTCAGGTTCTCCTTCTGATCCTGCCTGCAGTTGCTGGATTCTGTTTCTGGCCAGAGCGTTCCTTGCTGAAAGTCACTTTTGCATTGTCCGTCAAGCGGAATTGTTTTAATTGTCGGGAGCGTAATGATTTTTCATGGGCTTAACGACCCATTTTAACTGCATACTGCATTTTAATCTAGTTTACTGGGTAACGCCAGTGCGGCAACCATTAAGTACTTACACATATATGAGCTGTAAACTCTGGTATTACTTTTATTGGATTTCCTTTTATTTTTTTTTTTTAGATTTTTTCAAATATATTTGCGTTTGCTTAAATAGGTATTTTTATACCCTGAACCCATTACAAATGGGTAAAACGGGTATAATGTATTTGTGCAAATGTATGTAACAGACAGAAGGAAGCATCTCCGACCCCATAAAGTATATATATTCTTGATCAGCATCAACAGCCGAGTCAATCTAGCCATGTCCGTCTGTCTGTCCGAAATTTTAGCTGTAGGTCCTCCTAGTACCCCCGCAGATCGCGTTTGTTTCTCCGTTTCCAAGTAATCGATATAGAAATCCTGTTTTTTAAACGATTTTGGTAAATAATAAGAGCTAGAGTCACCAAACCTGACATGTAGCTTCTAGAATAGTATATATATGTATATAACATATATCTTTCATTTTATAGCTATCGCCATCTAACCGCTACCACCACAAAGCTATAAATCATGTTAGTAAACCAACTTGTATTGCCTACCTATTTAAGCTATAATTTAAATGCAATTTTTTTGTATTTTAATTTTTCTTTATTACTGGTAAAGCAAACGAGCGAGTAGCTCGAGCTGCATTTGGTGTTGGAATAAGAGGGTTCCGGGTATCTCCTAGTCGGAAGCTCCCGACTAGAACCTCTTACTTGTTTTTATATGTTGACCTATGTTCCATTTAATTTACTTTGTTTAACGACAAATTATCAACAAAAGTCTTACTAGCACACAGAGAAGCTAAAGAATTTAATTCAGAATTTATGTTAAGTTAATTTAGACAGATCGACAAAATAGACTGAAAAGTAATTATATAAATATATAAATATATATATATATATATAATATCACAAATGGCAACTGTTATTTATAATTATCTGTAATATTCTTAGCGTTATTTTTATCGATCAGAACTCTCTTCAAAATATGAAATGTCACATGTTATTAATCTAAATCAAACCAAAATCTGTATTCCTCTTTTTCCAATCTTGAATTCATATTAAAAAAAAAATTTATATGCTTTTAAAATTGATTGCCTCGTTTTTGTCACTTTTTGCCAGCTTGTCACAAGCTTATTGAGTATCAGAATTTCTTTAGGCACTCGGATGCAACTGACAGTGTCTGACAATTGTACGCACACCTTTATATCTGCTCAAACGACAGCTGGTCACTTAAAAGTGGCCAAATATCGAATTTTAATTGAATTTATGGCTACGTACGGTGACAAACATTTATAGTTGCAAATGGGTTTTGCTGTTCAGATTCTCGCCAAGTGGCATGTTAATTGGCCAAATTTGATTTTGAACTTAATTTCACACCAAAAGGATGCCATGTTTGCGTGCATGTGTATGCATGCAGGTGGATGTTTAATTTCAGTAATTAAATTTTAGGCATTTCGGTTGAAATTCACAAGCTTAGGCGATAGAACGATTATATATAGGTGGAGATAACATTTATATAAATTAGGATATTTAACTAAAGCTTATTATAATTAATTTCGGATAGATTAAATATGTAAAATATATAAAATATAAAATATAAACACTCTGACTAGAACAAGGTAAAATGAATATGGGTTCGAGCCAAAGCTGTGTTTTATTGATGTGAAAAACAATTAACTGAACTCTTTAGACATTAGCTTGAATCCCAAACCGAAGCAGCAACGTTTTCTTTATTGACTTATAATGATTATCTTTTCAGCTAGTCCCTCAATACTTGGATCACACAGCACACACACTCAGACAAGAGCTGATCTAGAGCTTCAGCTAGAGGATCAGTTTCAGCAGCTGGGTGGAGAGTTTGCGCCTAGCCATGGGCACCGGACACTATTTCTGGGCGATCTTCTACTTTACCAGCCTGTGCAGCGCCTCACTGTAAGTACACGCAACAAGGCCGATGCATCACACTCACAGTAGTTGCTAAAAGTATGCCACTTTATTTATGTTTTTGTCGCCCATTTTAACATTGTTGGATTTATGTTTTTTGTTTTTGACCTCACATGTTGCACTCGAGTGCGTGTGAGTGCCGACGCTCCAGCAGTCGATTTGCATACAATTGCCGTTAATTTGCCGGATGGCCACGCCCTCTCAAAAGAGAGGCCATGTACATATACTTATAAAGAGTGTATATGGTATATGATATACATGATATATATTTTAAGTAGTGCTTTAGTCTGCTGTAGTTCGCTTTTTGCGTTTGTTGTGTTTTCAGCCACGCCCACTCTTTCGCCACTCGCTCGCTCCGCCCCGTCCCGTAGCACGCAGTCACTTGAACTTGTAATCTCATTACCATAACATGTTTTTATGCATTTTAACAGTTTCACTTCACAACATCATTAAAATGTAATTAATTTTCATGTAATTTTTGTCGGAGCATAAATTTTGGAATTATTTACGCTCAAGCCGAGGACAGAGCCAGCAGCAATTGTGACCTGGCTTTGCCTGGGCTTCTGATATGTGCGACAGTGTATAATGAAGATGTGATGAATTCAGAGTCCACAAAAAAAAAATAAATAAATAAATAAAAACTTACAAACACACTTCACTCAATTTGTACATAATTTATATAAAACAGAACAAATTAAACAAAAAATTAAAATAAGGACACAAAAAAAAATAAATAAAAAAATCACACAAGTTGCTGTACATTTTATGCAAATCTTTTCGTTTTTTGCAATTCTAAAAAGTCACCAAAAATTTGTTCAGCATATTTTTCAAAACTACTTCAGAATATTGTCTAAAATACTCGAATACACAAACCCAATCACATAATGGAAAAAACTCAAAAAATTAAAATTACACGTGCGTACCTATCCATATCCTGATTTCAGAGCAAATAATGCCAAAATAAATTTCCGAGAAAAGGAGAAAAAAGTCTTAGATCAAATTTTAGGTGCAGGCAAATACGATGCCAGAATACGACCATCTGGAATAAATGGCACAGGTGAGCATATACTTTTATTGCATACTATACCAAATTATAAGCAATACAACAAATCTATATATCTCTAATAGCTGCTATACTTACGTAATTTAAAATTTACCTATTCGTTTTTCTAATCTGTTTTCCAATTGTGTTGTGATTTGTTAATTCTATTCACAAAGTCAAAGAAAAGTTAATGCCATAACAACAATTGGTCATATATTATATCTACGTATATTTGTAAGTCTCTTAATAAGTACAAAACAGTTAAACTAGCTTAGTATGGAGACCTACAGAGTTCTATTCATTAGCTTAGTTAGTTATATAAATGCAATTAAAAAATAACAACAAATGAAAGCAAAACAAAAAAACTCACACTTTAAAAACCAAACTCTATGCCAGATGGTCCCGCCATAGTCAGAATCAATCTATTCGTACGCAGTATAATGACGATTAGTGATATTAAAATGGTAAGTTCCATATAAGAGTGAGCCCGAAAAACAAAAAAATAATAAAAAAAAATAAAAAAGAAAACAAATATATCAAACTAATTCAAAAACCAAAAATCTTGGCCAACAAAAACCAAATTCGACAGACCCACTCGCTCTCTCGCTCTCTTTTGCTCTCTCCTCTCTATCATCTTACAGCACCCCATACGACATGCAGTACACTAACTTTAGTAACTACCCCTTTTGAAACTACCCAAATCCAAAACCAAGCATATCCAAATATTTTTGGTAGTGTGCAGTTTTAATCATAGCAATAACAACTACTAGAACTTACTATACGATATGCTCTATGCTACTCTGCTCACTCAAACACAGACACACACAAACACACACACACAAATATATATAGAAGCTACATACATTTATACCCACACATACATGTATACTAAGATAGCTATATAAAAAAAAAAAGAAGGAAAAAAACATATTACACTTTGTTTGCTTTTGCTTTGAAGTTGGGTTTTCTAACTTTCTATCTCTATCTAACTCTCTCTCTCTCTCTTACTCTGTTTAACTTAGACACTCCATATATACCAAGCTAACCCATCTCCCTTTAGTCCAATGTTCCTCTCTCTATCTCTCTGTTTAACCCCATATCTAACTTTGTTTGCTGTTCTATGGCTATTGAAATTTGCGTTCTTTGCGTTTGTTTAGTGTTCTACTTCGTTTTTTTTTTACTTTTCTGAAAGCAAAGCCACTTTTATGGCACATGTATTTGGATACTCTTGTGTGCATACATCTATATATGCATATATATATTTTATCTTTCAGTTTTCGTTTTACGCATATTTTAGAGAAAGAGTTTTTTTGCATTCCCCAAATTCTTTTCGTTTTCTCTTCCTTGTTTTTGCTTTGGATACAATAACTCCGGGCAAACATTGTTATTTCTGTTATATATATCTACATATATATATTTAGATATATATATATATATATATAGACAATATGCTTACATACTTATATACTACTTATATATCTACTACTACTACTACTACAATTTGCAGATATAGCTAGCAATATTTGCATTTTAAGTTTCTTTCCTTTATGTCGAATTTGACATGCATTAACTCTTACCCCAACACACAGAAGCAACCACACACACACACACACACAAACACGCAATAAGTGCTGGAAAATCTCCTGATGATTTGCCAGCTGCGCCAGCAAATCGATAGGTCATCAATTTCAACTAAATTTCTGACATAAACTGTTGCCTACTTTTAGGCTAAGCGCAAAGCATTTTCGATTTGCTGGCTTTTAACACACATACACGCACACACAGATTTTTGAGTAACCTGCAAACATTTTGAAGTGCTCTTTGCCCAGGGAAGATTGTGTGCAAGAAGCTCTGGGTGATTCATAGCAATCATTGATATCGCTTTCTTATGCTCACGGGCGAGAACAGACGCAACGCATTGACTTCTTTTCACTATCGCATGCGTATCTTCCTCGCGAAACGTATTCGTATTCCCCTGGCCAAACGTTTTCTACTGGCAATTTTTTACTCTGCCTGTCCGCCAAAAGCAGGTTTTGTTTGTTTATGGCAAATGGGTAAGAGATATTGCTAGTTATAGCAATATGTGTAAGGCAATAAAGGGAAATCAAATACAATAAAATGTTTGCAGGGTTAGCTGTTATTTTATATACATGTAATAGGACAGTACTTCAACATTGACATGCGAGTACTGAAAACTTATCTGTATCTCGTTTGAAATGGAAAAAAAATCTATTTTATTTTTTGTATAAATATTTAATGTGAGTTTCAAGTTTTTCTCTTTCACACCTTTCGGTCGTATTTTAAATGTATCACGTGGAAAAATCTATTTTTCATGTGTGTGTCTGTTTGATGGCCGCTACCCACTTAGCCGTGTTCAGTTAACATCATTTTATTTTTATATTGATTACAAATAAAGTTTGAGTTTTCATTTTCAGTTTGTTTCTGAGCGTGTGTGTGCACTTGTGTGTATGTGTGTGTATTCCTGTCATGTTGACTTTCCGACGCAGCAATGACATCATTAAAAATTCACAAGTACCATCCAAATACATAATTATGAAATGCGGCCAACGCTTTGTAAACGTCAATAATATTGGCAAAATAAAAACAATAAATATATGTATCTATATGCTCATCAATTAGCACAAATAATAAAAAACATCATACTTTAATATGCTCCATAATGATTATGAGTTTTTCATTTGATTTGTGTAACATACTTTTTAAGCCACATATTAACTCATACAAAACTCATGCATATAAAAAATACTTTAGATTAACTTTGGCGCTATTATGTAGATAAAACTAACAAGATACTTTAGCTTACCTCCATAAGAAATATAAAGTGACAACCATAACTTATTGTAAGCAGGCCATAGACATAAAAGTTGAACTTTATTGCAGCCAAAAATAAAAAATAAAGAATAAAGAATAGAAAGACAAGAAAAAAAATAAAAAACTCATAAAGCCAGATAGGATACCAGGCGGCAAACAAAAAATTCATTGGCCATTTTAAAGATTTTATATGCTAAGTTTTAGTGCAAACTCAGCAGCAGTAACAGTGTGGCTAGCCGTGCCCGTTGCAGTGTGACCAGTTGTTAAATTTTGTTTATTACCCAAATTGTACAAATTGGTCTATCTATATGTATCATCCCTCCAGATGGTCCAGCTGTTGTGCGCGTCAACATATTCGTTAGAAGTATTTCGAAAATCGATGATGTAACCATGGTAAGTGCGCGCAAAAATTAAAAAAAAAACCATAAAAATAAAACTAAAAAACAAAAAATACCGTACCATCATATAGATAAGAACCACAGACTCTGCGACCTTGCCCACAAACGTTTAAGTTGTGTGTGAGTGTGTGTTTTGGCCCAGTCACAACCGTGCCAATGAACTAAGAACTAGTCGTGTCCCGACCTGCTCGCAATCTCTGTCTAACTCCTACGCTCTCTGTCTCTGTCGCGACCCCCCCTCTCTCTCTCTCTGTCTCTCTCTCTCTCACCATCCGTCTTCGTCTTATAGAGCTGGTTGATCCCTATATATAAATGTGTCATAACAGTGCGCGTATCTTGTGTTAGTTTTATGTCTTACCTATGACCAGGCGTTGACTAACAGAAAAACACAGCTACCGTTATATGATTAATAATAATAACAAATATGCTATATACATATCAAACTAACTATATCGGATATTGGTATTTTTCAACAAACGTTCAATTGTTAAACTATCGATGTGTTTTTATCAATTTCTACATATTTAAATTAATTTGAAAAAATTTGCTTTTACTTCATAACAAAATTTTGAACAAAATTTGCAAAAATGCTTGAAGTAAAGAACTTATTGTTCCTCGTTTTGAACAAGAATTTCTTCTAGCTACTAAGTAATTGGCTAACAATACAATTTAGCATTTTAATTAGATTGTGCATATTAATTATAATTTGTTTGTTTTAATTTAAATATTGGCATTGGTAACTATTTTATTTGAATTTTTTCTCTTGAAAATATTTTGATTACGTTTGCCTAACAAAAATGTAAAATAATAAATTTGTTTTGTAGTATGAAATGAACAAAACATAAAGGAAATGTCTTTTTGGATCTCTCTCCCTCTCTATCTCTCTCTCACTCTCTGTATCTCTCTATTTATCTTTCATATATATGCAATACTCTGTTTAGCTCTCACACACACACACTCTCTCTCTCTCTATCGCTCTGTCTTTATTTTGACCAAAGTGTATGTAAATCTAGTTTCATTTTCAACTATCTATTTCTCTGTAACTATCAACCTATTCATCTGTCTCTCTGTCTGTCTCTGTCTCTCTGTCTCTCTCTCTCTCTATCTCGCTCTGTTATAACAAGTTCGCCCTAAACAATTATCAATTATGAATTTCTCTTAATGTTAATTACGGCAACATAAATTAAATTATTATCTTATATCAAATTATTACTAATTGTAATTGATGATGACTGCTGGACAACAGTTATTCATACATATATATAAATATATATTTATATACATATATATATCTATATATATATATACATATGGTCCTTTATGCTAACTGTCGTGTGTGTATTTCCAGTAAATATTGATTACGTATGTTTAATAAATTTCTATTATTTCATATACATTTGCCAGTTTCAATTTTATTTAATTACTACTAATCTATTAACTTAGTATCAAAAATGTTATTGTCTACAACAATTCATTAAATATATACAAAATGTGTTACCTAAATTTTCCGTGTGCTTTGTACGTGTGTTGGTTGTTTATCTTTACCTCCCCGCCCTTGACAAGTCACCCCTTCCCAATCCTCACATTTCACAAGCCAACTTTCAGTTAGAGACCACCATATAATTATTAAGCTGCAAATTGTTTGTTGTTTGTTTAGTTTAAGGCCTCGAAGCAATTGATATTTTATTCATACAGATATTAAAAGCAAACAAGAAAATATTTTGATTAAAGCTTTGAAGGTGCTAAAAATTGAAAAATGTGTGGCATGCATTTTATAAAAAGTATAAAAAGTTCTTAAAATCAAATTCAAATTTATATTAAAACAAGAGAAAAAAAAATAACTGACTAGCTTCGGATTGTCGAAGACCAAATACCCTTGCTGAAATTTAAAAAATTGTTTCTATGGCATATATATGATATAGTGTTCCGAACGGGCTGTGCTAGCAGTAGCAAAACTAAACATCATCACCACATTTCACTATGATAAATGTACTGAAAGACTAGTTCGAATAGATCAGTAGAAATAGAACCAATGCAAGGTTATACATATGTATATGTGTTTTTAAATCGGTAGAGCAATTGACGTAATGTGTTAATTAACTGTACCTGTGTATGTTTATATCTAAGAAAACCTAAACCTCATACTTCAATGAGATCCATGCAGACATTTGTCCGTATCAATTTGAAAAATATTTTTCTTAATTATATTTTGTTATTTTCCATTTTTTCGTTTTTTTCGTTGATTTGAATTTGGTTCTAACATACAATTAGGGCTCACATAAAATTCATCAAATAAAAACAAATATATGAAACTCAACTTAAGCTAGCATTAAGATTGTAAGCCTACATTATATAGATATAAAGAAATAGGTATAACATTGTTCTCGATTGTCCATGAAAATATGATAACTCACAAAGCAAATGCTGCTCGATTCTGATACAATAATCTTTTAGCAAATTTGGCTACATTAGTCCAGGTCAACATGTTTCTGCGCTCCATATCAAAAATTGATGATTACAAAATGGTGAGTGCAGGCTCAAAGGCAGTTAACGAATATATGAATACGCAAACAATGAATATGTATATGAATACAACAAGTACAACATCCAAGCGCTTTACAAATTTTGCTCTAATATATATTACAAAAATATATATATATATATATACTTGTATATCTTTTTTCAACTTTTGTGTATGTGTATTGTGCGTGTGTGCGTGTGTCTGTGTGTGATTGTGTATGTAAATTAAAATAAACACAAAAGATTTGCTTCTTTTTTTTTATATAATATTAAAAATAAAAACATGATACAACTATGTGAAATGCATAAATAAGCTGTGTGTATGTATATTGTATTACTAAATATGTATATTTATGTATAAAAGTATGTAATAATAATAAATAAAAGACAAATTAAACATTATACTAAAACAATAATTGAAATTAATTCAATTGGCTGTATAAAATTTATATATATACATTTTTTTTTCGTCAACACTTTTTCAATTGTCTTGCAAAATTCGAATTAATTTTCCAGAAATCTCTTGCCTACACAATTAAAAAAATATAAATATTGAAAAATATAAATTTAATTGCTAGTTATGCAGCACTGGCAAAAGATTTCTTTTTATAGTTACATGTTTATTTTTGCAAGCATACATGTACTTATGTATGCATCTACCTATATCTATGTATATTTCCCAATGTACCTTTGTCAAATACTAATTCAATTTTTATATGTGTTCTTTATTTGTGTTCAATTTCGTTTTTTTTTTATATTTCACACAATGAAGCCAGTTTCTGCAGGCGCGCGCTCTTTACACAACTTAAAGAAATGTTTATTATAATTTAAGTTAGTTCCTAAGTTAACATTTGTAAGTTCTCATAGCTTTAGACCATTTTGTAACCAGCTAAAACTATGTTAGTTTAATTCTAAAAAGACAACACCAAAAGAATCTTAGCCCAACCACAAGCTCATTTCATTCAGTTCATCTGCATTTGCTCATTGACCAAAACAGAGAAAAAAATTCACCGATTTTTAAAGCTATTCATTTTTCTCTAAGCCTCCCTCTTCACAAGCCGATATGCGTTCATTTAACATTTACAAAAGTGAGAAATATATATTCTATTATAATCAATTAAGATAAACAGAAATAAATGCTTACCACACATGCAACATAAATCCAACGAGTAAACCAAATATTTTTTATTAAAAGCCAAGTTTAACTGTAAGTACAAAAAATTAAATACAAATAGTTGACATTAAATTCATCCGGCTAAAGCGTGTGTTCAAGGTCTCAACATTTGTCATTGCAATTCCGCTACAAAAAATAGTTACATAAAAACAAATTGCAGTCTCTGAACACTAGCAACAAAAAAGGCACAGCTCTGACAGCTGCCTCATTAAAAAAAGAGAACAAAACAGTTGAGAAAAAAAATTGACATCAATTTATTAAGTGGAGCCGCATACGCATTTGAACAAATACGTGTACATGCCATAAATAAAATCCAATTATTTGATTTAATTATTCAAATTTATATGTTGTCATTTTTTGCTTCATATGTTTACAAATGCCATTTGGCATTTCATTTATTTTTTTTGTTTTATCACATAAAACAAAATCTGAAACAGCAAACAAAAAAAAGTAAAATTCAATAAACTATAACAATGCCGCCATGAACAAAATGCAAATAGTTGCCGACTTCATTATGAAAAGCTAATAGGATTTTATTAATCAATTCAAGCTTCTGTTTCCTATTTAATTTGTACCTTCCGTTGAATGGTTCACTACAAAATCCCCGTTTATTATTTGATCTATTTAGAATATAAAGCATGAATGTATGTAATTTATGTTTTAACATGCACATTTTGGGGCTCTTAAAAAGAATAATTACAATTTATATTTAATTTATATAAATCAACACAAGTTCTTTATATATTGCCAGCTACTTTACTGGGCCTCGAACCTGGAACTGTGTTGCCTACCATATGAAACAATATATAAAGCAAGTACTCGTTATGGCCCGAGCCGCGCTCACGGAGCGTGGCGCTACAGCTAGAGCGTCTGCCTGTGAAGCCTGAGACTTGAGTTCTAATCCGCTGCACAAATATTGTGCTCTTTATACGTCATTCTATTCCCTTTATATTTTTTTAATTCTAGGTCTCTAATAGTTAAAAACAAACATTTTCTTTTCTTTTTCTTTTGTTTATCTAAATTGGGTTTTAGGCGCAAGTAGAGTGTTCTTTATTTGAAGAAAATAATCTTAAGATATATATAAGAATACGTTTATGCTGTATGTCATATATTATAAGGAATGTCTAAGTATGAAACTAGTAACTACATACATATATAAGCCTGCTTCTTTTATGAAATGCTATTGCCTGCTTTTCGCTGCCTGCTTTTTGTTGCCTTTGCCATTCGCTTGTGTCGCTGCTCAATAGTGTTTTTGTCCATTTTCTATTGCCAATATCGTATCTTTTTTATGCATTTTTGGCACGTTGCAAGCTGATTTTTGCTTTTTGCTTATTGCCTGCTATGTGTTTTGTATGCAACACGTTGCAATGTTGAACAATGCATTGGATAATGATGGTCATGTTGAATGCGCTTGATATTGCATGCTCAGCATCACAGACGCAGATTGTATTGCATTTTGATTCGTTTATTATGAGATACACCCATATATATAGATGTATGTGCCATGACATGAATACTTACATACTACTACTTATACCAATACTATTGCCGAAATATTCTCTAACCGAAACATATGCCTTTAAGGCCAAACGCTTTAAACAATACGACAACTTTTCAAAAGTTTCAATTATATATAGCCACCATATATATATACATACTACTTACTAACTAACAAATATAAACTAACTACTCGAAAAATATATAAAACGTTCGCCACGCCTCGCCACGCCTTGCTCGCTCTCTCATACAATTAACCACAAAAAAAAAAAAAAAAATTTAAAAAAAATTAAAAAGTCTAAACGTCAAGCTAAAGTCCCCCTCGCAAAAGCAAATTGCAAGCCCACCAATTAAAAAGCCCCACACCCACCACCACCACCACCGAAAACAAACTAAATTGAAAAATGAATAACAATTTCGAAAAACGAAAACTCTAGAAATTCCCCAGAAATTCGAAAATACCAAATTTGCATTGTAGTTCATATTGAATTGCATTGAATTGAAATTATAATGAAACAATAAACAAGCATAAAATTTCCCAGTATTAACAAAGTTCTCTTTTATTCTAAACAATCAACAACATCAACAACAACAACAACAACGACGCCCTACAGGAGTACAGTGTACAGTTAACTTTCCGAGAACAATGGACGGATGAGCGTCTCAAATTCGATGATATACAGGGTGAGTAATCGCTGCATAGTTATTATTTTGATTAAAAACTAATTGCAATTTCCTTACAGGTCGCTTGAAATATCTCACACTGACGGAGGCGAATCGCGTGTGGATGCCGGATTTGTTCTTCTCCAATGAGAAGGAGGGACATTTTCACAATATCATTATGCCCAATGTGTATATACGCATATTTCCCAATGGTTCGGTGCTCTATAGTATACGCATCTCATTAACATTGGCCTGCCCAATGAATCTCAAACTGTATCCATTGGATAGACAAATATGCTCACTACGAATGGCTAGCTGTAAGTGATTGTTTTAGATATATATTTATGCATATATCTATATCTATATCTATATCTATATCTATATCTATATCTATATCTATATCTATATCTATATCTATATCTATATCTATATCTATATCTATATCTATATCTATATCTATATCTATATCTATATCTATATCTATATCTATATCTATATCTATATCTATATCTATATCTATATCTATATCTATATCTATATCTATATCTATATCTATATCTATATCTATATCTATATCTATATCTATATCTATATCTATATCTATATCTATATCTATATCTATATCTATATATATATCTATATCTATTTCTATATCTATATCTATTTCTATATCTATATCTATTTCTATATCTATATCTATATCTATATCTATATCTATATCTATATCTATATCTATATCTATATCTATATCTATATCTATATCTATATCTATATCTATATCTATATCTATATCTATATCTATATCTACATCTATATCTACATCTATATCTACATCTATATCTACATCTATATCTACATCTATATCTACATCTATATCTACATCTACATCTATATCTACATCTATATCTATATCTACATCTATATCTATATCTACATCTATATCTATATCTATATCTACATCTATATCTACATCTATATCTATATCTATATCTATATCTATATCTATATCTATATCTACATCTATATCTATATCTATATCTATATCTACATCTATATCTATATCTATATCTATATCTATATCTACATCTATATCTACATCTATATCTATATCTATATCTATATCTATATCTATATCTATATCTATATCTATATCTATATCTATATCTATATCTATATCTATATCTACATCTATATCTATATCTATATCTACATCTATATCTACATCTATATCTACATCTATATCTACATCTATATCTACATCTATATCTACATCTATATCTACATCTATATCTACATCTATATCTACATCTATGTCTACATCTATATCTACATCTATATCTACATCTATATCTACATCTATGTCTACATCTATATCTACATCTATATCTACATCTATGTCTACATCTATATCTACATCTATATCTACATCTATATCTATATCTATATCTATATCTATATCTATATCTATATCTATATCTATATCTATATCTATATCTATATCTATATCTATATCTATATCTATATCTATATCTATATCTATATCTATATCTATATCTATATCTATATCTATATCTATATCTATATCTATATCTATATCTATATCTATATCTATATCTATATCCATATCTATATCTATATCTATATCTATATCTATATCTATATCTATATCTATATCTATATCTATATCTATATCTATATCTATATCTATATCTTTATATTTAACTAATAAATATATGTCGCTTTTCTTCTGATAGACGGCTGGACCACCAACGATTTGGTATTCCTTTGGAAGGAGGGTGATCCAGTGCAAGTGGTAAAGAACTTACACCTACCTCGCTTCACATTGGAGAAGTTTTTGACTGATTACTGTAACAGTAAAACCAACACGGGTACGTTGTTTGTGTGTGTTTTTAACAGTTGTGTTGATTGTGTTTGAGATCTTCTATACTCCTTAAACTTTTCTTAATATATATCTAGCTACTTTATAAACTTGTAGCTTACTTTAGTTATTTTTCGTAAGTTGTTGCTTGGTTTTCGTTCTTAAACAAATTTGCTTTTATCTGAAAGTTTGTGCGTTTTATATTTAATTTTCCATCAGGGTTATGCGTTAGGCACTGCATCCAAGAACTACTTTATATATGTATATGTGTATTTCTATTTGTATCTGTAGCATTTATTTTCAATATAGTTGTTGGCTCGTACATATGCTTATATATAACAAACGGCATCATAAGCACTTCATAGCAAACACACATCTCACACCCACACACACACACCTACACTTACATGCTTGTAATGACGCCGTTTACACATGAGCTTCCCGTTGGGCCGTTATCAATGCCCGAATCGCATAAAAACCAACTTTTTACGATGTAATTCACACACACTCCCAGCAGACACCCACACACACACACTCATACACAAAATCTAGCAGCCTCTTATACCCACTCGCCCATTTTTAGTGCAGTTTTTGGCATCTCGTGTCGCTTACCTTAGCCGGGTTTTTATGAGCACTTTGAAATCAGTTCGCGCTTTAAGCAAATGTTTACCTTGACTGCCAAGAACTACTACTCGCATCTGAGGGCTGCGTCTGCGGCAGGCAAATGCGAAACGGAAAATGAAAATGAAAGAAAATGGCAAAAGGCGGGCACGGAAAGTAAATTAATCGAGGAAATTGTTTGCGACGCAGTTGCTTAAACTTGCACAAAGAGCAAATGCCCCCCGCCACTCAACCGGAACCAATGATGATGATCTATGTGTGTGTGTGTGTGAGTGTGCGAGTATCTATGAGGCTAGGCGGGCGCCCAAGTTGCGGCATACAAATACGCAAAAGTTTTTCACAAACTTGGCAAATTGTCTGTCAGCATCTTTAGGTGGATAATTTATGTCTAGAAAATGCAACCGATTTGTGATTTGCTTTCGTTTGAGCACCTCATAGAAAATCCTTATGCTGCATTTTAGCCCCGACGTTTAATGCAAATAACTAATGATACCCATCGCAGTCCCATTATGGACAAAATATATTTGATATACCCCCGAATGGACAATTATAATGAAGGTAGCTCTAAGCAGTACGGTAGTTGATTTGCCTAAAGGTGAATTTCTTAAAGGGTATTTTGGTATTGAAATAGGCATCGGCGGGTTCATTAGAAAGGTATATATAACAAGAAATAAAGGCTTTTTTCGGTATGCCGAAGATAACATTCCCTAGTTTACATTTGGCTTATCAATTTAATATATATATATTTTATTTTCGAATTATCGGTCATATAGAAGCCAATATATATCCGTTTTGATAAGACATTCCTATTTCTAACTTAGTCTCATATTAAACTTATGCCAGCTCTTATTACCTGGATCATTCCCTTACCCAAAGTAGTTTCATTTCATGTAGAGCCCATTCGAAGGCTTAAGATGTGTAATATCATTCATTAAAATCATTTGCTTTGCTCATACTCGCTTTTAATGAGTTCAGCATGAGTTCGCAAATCATATATTCTTTAATATTCTTATAAAAAAAACTATGTATATATATAATTTTTTTTTTTCAATACAAAATTTTACCGAAACCCGTTTTTAGTCGTTGCGTAGTTGTTTGCATTTAGTTCGCCTTGAACTTAGTTGCTCACATAAACATTTATTAATTTTATGTCTTCTATGAGCGTTAAAATGGAAAGAAAACTGATCAACTGTGCCATAGACTAAATACAAAACGAAAAAATAAATAAATAAATAAATAAAAAAGCAACCAGTATCCAGTAGCAGAGTTTCCCAGAGAGCCACGCAAATAAACCACACGCAGCCACTCGAAAATGCAAACATGAGCAAAAAATAAAATATACAAAAAAAAAAACAGAATGAAAAGGAGCGCTGATCAATTTAATGAGAGAAATGAAATGAAAATCTTGTACATTGAAAATTGAAAATTGAAAATTGAAAATATGAGAATGTAAAATAATAAAACAGCTTTGTCTTGAAGAGTATGGAACGCACTGTCAACAAATTAACGGAAATGAAGGGGGCGCGTGGGGGTGTTCACAGCGGAAGCTAACAGCAGGAGCAATGGCAGCGACAACAACAAACAACAACAACAACAACAACAACTGCAACAATAAGAACCACAAAGAGCTCGCCCCCATTCTACACGAGCCCCACGAACTTCATTTCCGTTAAGAATTTTGTTGCAAAAAGTCAGAAAATTGAATTGATGTTAGAATACATTTTGCCTATGATGCCATTTTATAATTTCCCAATTCAACTCTCTGTTTCTCTGTCTCCTAATATCATTCTCAGTGTGTTTCTTCTTCATTTCGTTTTGTGTTTTGTTGTTTTTATTTATTTTTTTTTTTGTATATACATTGACGTGCCACCTCCGTGCCCCACCCACTGTGCATAATTTTATAATTTTTCTTTTTTGGAAGCCCGCCTCCTTCCTGTACATAAACACAACAAAATTATATGGAAATGACAAATAAATGTTTTTCTTTTTTCAAAATTTTAAAAGCAAGTCAAATTTTGTTTTTGTTTTTTTTTTCTTTTGTTTCTCGTTTATTGGATGACAAATTTTCTTTGATAAATATATTATAAATATTGGAAATGTGTGTGTGTTTCTATGTCTGTGTTTTTCATTTCGTTTTGGTTTTCAGTGTCTAAACTCATTTCTCTGTGTATATACATATGTGTGTGAGCGAGCGTGTGTTTGGAAAGCAAAAAAAAAAAAAAATGAAAATAAATGCCAATTTCGTGTACATTTTATCCTTCCCGTTCATTTTAAGTTTGACACAATTTATATTACCTTGTATACTCATAGGTGAATACAGTTGCCTCAAAGTCGATCTACTATTCAAGCGAGAATTCTCATATTACTTAATACAAATTTATATACCATGCTGTATGTTGGTCATTGTCTCATGGGTATCATTCTGGCTGGATCAAGGCGCAGTGCCAGCGCGTGTATCGTTAGGTAAGTGCCCAGCTAAATAGATATACAAATATATACATATATATATATATATTTATATATATAGAGAATGCATTGAAAGAAAAGCAAACCTTTCAACGAACCCATATACATACATATGCCTGAAACTAATATCAGATTTATATAAAGAACTAATTAAAAACTATATTATTAACTCATTTTATTTGTTTGGTTTTTCTTTTAAAGGTGTGACCACTTTACTCACAATGGCCACACAAACATCGGGCATTAATGCCTCACTGCCGCCCGTATCCTATACAAAGGCAATCGATGTTTGGACCGGCGTCTGTTTGACGTTTGTCTTTGGGGCATTACTTGAATTCGCCCTGGTGAACTATGCCTCCCGCTCAGGTTTGAATAAAGCTAGTAATTGAGATTTGATATGCTTCTTAACAAACTTACTTAATGTATTAATGGTGTTTATTCTATTTGTTGTTTTTAATCATTATTTTTGTCGAGAACAACGCATATAAATATATACATCCCTATATATATATATATATATATATATATGCTACATGTAACGTATATTGTGTATATACTTATATAACTACGACTAACATCTCGCGCATATCTAATGTACCAAAACTCAAACGGACTGTCACGCACACACACAATTTGTCTGTGTCACACAAACACACTTAAACACCCACAACAACACACAGTTGAGATTCACATCTACACGTCGGCGTGGCACCCGCCAATTTTTGGGCTATAAACAAACTGATTTTTGGCCAGCAACTACAACAACAACAACAACAACCAGAAGCAACTAACTAATGTTTAACAGATAAAGGCCAACGATTTTTAGGCTGTAGCCTATCATTTATTTTCCATTCGATACATATAATATAATATATAAATATTTTTTCGAATTTTTAGTTCTTTCATTCACATAAATATTGTAAAACCAAATCTATTCTGCGTGTATAATTCTACTAATCCAATTGTTTTGATTTACTCTCTTATTTCATTGTGCGCCCACACACACACACACACACAAACATACACACACTCATCCAACTTACATACACACACACACAAACGCACTCACACACACACACACACACACTCACTCAAACCCAAACGCGTTTGAAAAAATTAAAATTGGACAACAAAAAACAAATTGTACTTTGGAAAAATCGACACCAACGCAATTTGAAACGCATTTAAAATTCTCTTTCGCTGTTGTCATTGCCTGTACATTTTTTAAAACTAAACCGAAACCTCGAAAACTCTGTTATTTTTGTGCCTTTAACACATACATATTTTTGATTTTGTTTATAATTTGGCAAAAACCACTTTCACAACTTGCACTCGATTTAAACAAAAAAAAACTATCGTTTGACAACACTTCCAAATTGTTTACTGTTTCTGTATGTGTGACTGTCTATCTCTATCTGTCTCTCTTTCTTTCTCTCACTCGCTGTCTCTGTCGCTATCTAACTGTATAAATGTGTGCTATGCATCTAAAATAAAATAAAAAAAAAAAAAAAAACAAAATAAAAATATTTAAATCAACTGTAAATTACGCCAAAAAAAAAAAAAAAACAAAACCAAAAAATTTGAAAAATGTCTATCAAACTATTCGAACTATCCCATTTTTGTGGAACATATAAATTCTTGTCGAACATCTTCCTATCACATGCAACAATATACGGATCGGGCCGCAGACATGCATAAGGAGAATATGAAAAAGAAACGTCGCGATTTGGAGCAGGCCAGTTTAGATGCCGCTTCAGATCTGCTTGATACAGATAGCAATGCAACATTCGCAATGGTACTTACCTTTCAATTAACTAACAATTTGTTCATTAATAAGCCTTAGAACTTACTGAGGGCAGTATAGAACAGAGTTTAGATGAATTTAAAGAATGGCAATTTGTGGTGGGCAGCATAGAATAGAGTTTAGATGAGCTTGAAGAATGGCAAAAGTTTATTAAAAATGTGAAATTATATTTGAGCTTTAGCATATCAGTAATAAGTGGAAATTCTTTAAAGTTTTTTTTTTCATATTTAAGATAAAGTAACCGCATTGGGTAGTGACATCACGTTGGGCGCCACGTAATTTAAATGTTATATTTTACTAGATATTTCATTAAAAAATATATATGTGGGAATGATTGATAGTTTTTTCTCAGTCAACGTTAAAGAACAGCATTTCAAAGACAAGGCTCTAACTTCCATTAGACAGTGTCCCCACGTTGGGCGCCACGCGATTAAAACTTAATTCTTTGCAGCTGTATACCAACTTTTTGATTGCGAGCATGAAACGAGAAGTTACTAAACTAGTATAACCATAATAATAATATTTTATGAGGGTGTAACAGCAACTTTTAAATCTATAGAAGTTAATTTTGGCTATTTTTGAGCTGATTCATAGAAAGAAATGACCATTGGGTAATAATTTTTTAAGAGAGTAGTAAAATATTTGGAGCAATTGCCAAGTTTAATGCACATCAAACCATTTAACTAAAAACCAAATGCAACTTCATCAGCTTTCTCTAGAAGAAAAAAGTAGAAAACAAAACAAAACCAACTCAAATTGGCTATTTGCAAAATGTTTATGATAAAACTATTAAAACAACTATTTCCTTTTATATTTGCCTCTTTTTATTAAAAACCACACGCACACACCCAACACCCAACACACACACACACACACACACTCCACACACTTATACACACAAACACACATACACAATTTGAACAAAAACAAACAAACGCAAAATTAAACAACTTTTTTCAAACGTGCTCATACGACACAACCACGCACACACACACACACACACACACTAAATCAAACCACACATAAAAACCAAACTCAACCTCAAAACTGAAAACACATTCAACATTCAACTTAAACTCAAAAAATAAAAACTACAACCTTCATCAAACCAATTTCGCTGCGCGGCATTCAATCGACCCAACCAACTGAACTGGAATTCGATGAAAAATTGCAACGAAATTAAATGAAATTACGCACATGCCACCATTTGCCATTCGCCAATGCATTTTGCCCCTCTTGCCCCAAATATCGACGATCCCCTCATTGCATCAACTACAATCGAAATTCCATGTCAAACGGCATCGCAATTATCGCGCGGTGGTGGCCTGCAGAAGCCGCTGGTGCGTCATCCAGGCGATCCACTGGCGCTGGAGAAGCTGCGCCAATGCGAGGTGCACATGCAGCCACCGAAGCGTCCCAGCTGCTGTAAGACTTGGCTATCCAAGTTCCCGACAAGGTAACTCTCGAACAAAAATAATAACAATACTCTGTTGTAAATAGTTGAATTTTGTTAAATTGTAGTAGTTGATGGATTTCCTTTTTGATGTTGTGAATATGTATCTACATCTTGCTCTGTCTCTCTCTCTCTCTCTCTCTCTCAGTCTGTCTCTTTCTATATACATCTATATCAAAACTCTTATTGACTTTTTATGACACTAATTAACAGTAATTGAATTGAATCCATAAATTGAGTCATGTACTTTAAATGAAAGACAACCCGATTCGACATCTGCTTTGCTTTGCTGCTTGCCATCGTTTATTTTTGCTCGCTGTCTTTTGTTTCAAATGCTTGCTGCCAAATGATTTCCATCTGGCCCCCAAAGTCCAGAGTCAAGTAAATTGGGAAAATATAATTTGCTTCAGGCTTTATGCTAATTACACTGTGCAACAAATTTACGCTCGAACGAAAATGAACTTGCATATTAAACGGAGCTGAATAATTTGTAAATAAACAAAATTAATTGAATACATTTTATTCCCAAAATATTTTTGTTTATAATTTTTATAGATTTGTTAAAAACATTTTTTTTTTTAAATTCTTAAATCCCTAGAAAGTATTTTTTTCCTTTGCGATTTTCATAGTCCAAACATTCAAATATTTTAAAAAATTGGTGTATTTAAAAACTTTTGTTTTTTAACCCAAATTTGTTGTACAGTGTCATGTGCGGCCGTTTAAAATCAAAAGGTTTTTTGTGTGCTTTGCTTTCTATTGATTTGTTTGTTTTAAACAAACTTTTGTTGCAGAATTTTCAAAAATTATTTTCCCCCTTAGTACCGGAACCGCATCCCAAAGTTGACCACACGCCTATGTTTTTAATAGATCTTAACTCCTTACAAAGCACTTTTATCATTTTCCAGCACGTATCTAAAATCGTTTTAATTTTTTTATCAAATATTTAAAACAAACAAATTACTTTGATATAAAATCGAAACCAAAAACAAAAAAGGCCATGCAAAAATCAAACAAAAAAACAAAAAAACCAAACCAAACGAAAGAACAATCACAAATCAAAAAGCCAATCTCTAGATGATCAATTAATGTGTTTTGTACTTGTTGAATATTTATCCAAGACAATGTTCTAGATCGAAGAGAATCGATGTTATATCACGCATCACATTCCCGCTGGTCTTTGCGCTCTTCAATCTGGTCTACTGGAGCACATATCTCTTCAGGGAGGAGGAGGATGAGTAAATGCCGTTTACCTATTTACAAATATTACTTTACTTTATAAATATTAAACAAAAGCAAACAAAACTCAAAACTCTAAATGCTGGCACCACAATACCAAAGATTGTACTAACCTATTCTCTTTCTCTTAATTTTCTACTTTCATTTACTACTTTACGTTCCAAATTCTGTTGCGTATGGCTTTGTTCGGCTTGATTTTTGCATATATATATAACTATAACTATCTATATATATATATGATTTTTGATTCGATTCATTTGATTACAACTACAAAAAGGACCTTCTAAAGCGCGTCCGCGTCCGCGTCTCTGATAACCAAAGGCTATGTAGAATCCAACATGAAATTATCCAGATATATTTATATATACACACATATACCGATATGTATGTATATATAGGTTAATGCTTTGCATGATCAAATGGGGCGAGACAAGGCTTCAAGGCATTTCCACTATAAGAATTTTGATTAAAACCAAATATATTTACTAACTGTAAGTTAAGTTGATCAACTACGACTGCATAGTAGATAAAAAAAATTAAATAAAACAACCAAGTATAGAAATTAAAAAAAAAAAAAAAGGAAACTATTAAAATGATGTATTTTAAAATGACGAAACCGAGGCGATTTGATAAAACGCTTGCAGTTCGTTTGTTTCAATTTGTTTTAAATGTTCAAAATTGTTATACATTTAGTAAATTATTTTTAGGCCTTAAACCAAATACGTTTTGTTCAAAACTCGATTAGTTTAGTTCGAAACAAATTAGTATTAATTTGTACTTAAAAATGCGCTAAGTTAGATGTAAAAACAAAAAAAAAAAAACAAACAAAAAAAGAAAGTCGCACGACGTTTGTAAATATTGTCATATTGTCAATAAGTTTTAAGCCAGCTAGTTTATACACAATTCGAATTCTAAAATGAAAAACATAAAACAAAACAATGCGTGTAGATAAATTTAAGTTTAGGCATAAATAAGCAACAATAACGAACTCAACAAATCCTAGGCAAATTCAATTATTATGTTCACAATCGAATTAAAAATGAAATGAAAAAAGAGGATGAACAAATAAAATGCAGAACATGATTCAATGTTTTGTTTATTAAATTAATTCTCCAAGCACACACACACACACAGCAAAGTGCGTTTTTTTTTCTCTAGTTTATGATACCCTGGCAGGAAAGTACTATTAATAAATGTCATGTCCATCTGCCTCCCATTCTGTTCAAAACTATGTGAGCACACGTACATTTATGTGACTCGAACTTGAAACAGATGTTTGTTTTTCGCTGCTGAAGTTTATGAACTTCGGAGCCCATCGCATCGAATTTATATAACATATAGCTGCCATAGAAACTGTAGCTTTAGGTTTGACAAGTTGTACATTTAGGCCATACCTTATAATATTAGAAATAATATATGACATACAACTGCAAGGGTATGTGAACTTCGGCGTCACCGAAGCAAACAGTTCTCTTATGCTTATTATATTTTTTTACAAAAAATATTTAATTGGCACAAAGTAAAAAGCAAAATATAACTGGAACTGGTGGGTATTGCAAGTTTTTATTCCGATATCGATATGTTTGAAAAAATAGAACAATTCCTTAATATTTATCAAGTATTTTTTTTTGCTTGTTTACGACTTGAAGTTAAATTAAATTAGTGCCAAATTTGTTCATGTAGTTATTAGCCATATCTTTTAGGATTTAATGCTAAACCCCTTATTTATGCGTAAAATTAAACATTTCGTCTTTTTTTCTTATATATATAAACATAGTATAAATTAGTATACAATTTTAATTCAATTATTTATTGGGGACAGCGCATGAGAGCACAAGCAAAACTAACACTAAATTAAGAACAATTTGAAACTTGTGTTTCGAATGTAAAGTTCCATTAGTTAGTTATTTTCTTTAAGTAGTTTAACAATTAGTAATTACGATTAATAAAAAAAAAACCATAAACCAATTAACAGACAATACAAATAGTTTAAACAAAATAAATAAACCAGTAACAAAATCAACAATTAATAGAAACCTAAGCCCACAATTAGTTGAAGGCGTGGCATTTGCCAAATTTTTGGTAAACAAAATTGCTTTTTATTTTTATTAAGTGCCTTTTGTATGAGGAGTGAGTCCTGCAGTTAACAGGAGTTGGCTAACTGCCCCGCCTCCCCAGTTGTACCAACTAATTTCCGCAATTCGAAACCCCAATAATATATATATAAAACCGAACAACTTAACAAAAACTATGCACAAACATTACGAAACACCAAATCTGAAGATAATACGTTTCGGACTAGCTCTAAACTGAATTCTACATAGCTAACCAAGAACCAAAATAATATATTTAAAAAATAATACCTTACTAAGAGCAACCAATATTTTGTAGTTCTATAATATTTTTATTCAGCTTGTTTATTTATTTAACTTATTCAAATATTTTATAATGTTATGCTTTCTTTCATATTTTCGCTTTCTTTTACAATAAAAAATTATAAAAAAATATTTACAATAAAGGTAAGCCGCAGAAACCAAACAAAAAACAAATCAAAAATCAATGATAAACACGCACCCACATATATATATAATTATATTGTCACTAAGCAAACCTCAAGAGGAAATGAAATAAATGTTGTAAAATTCGTGCCAAGCAAGAAACAAATGAAAATTTCACCAAAAACTCAACTAAATAGCTAAAAAACAAAAAGTATGGGCGAACCAAATTAAGTAGAATATAGTTTTATTGTATATGAAGCTATAGCTATTGAACATACAGGGTTTTAAATGTGAGCAAATATGTAGTGGATGGATAGCTCGGGCGCTCAGATGAAGGCCTCGTAGCAGCCAAATGTTGGGTATGTTGTTTCATATGTGTTGATTAATGTTGATGTAAACGTAACTAAGTAACTAACACTGGGAAAAATATTTAAAATAATAAAATAAAACCGCAAAACCGCAAAACCGAAAACAAAGAGAATATTTAAAGAGCAGTAGTAAGTAGAACATCACAGCTAGCCGAGTGCGCTATATCGATCGAAATAATTGGCCCAGCTATTCCAGTTCGTGTCTAATTAGCTTAGGACTAGATCAAAACGTTTCGGCTTTCGAAACATGGCATAGGTTGTGTGCTGCCTTCAGTTGCCGTTCAACAATTTGGTCAATTATCATTTAGGCGCGAAAGTAAAACATAACGAATGTAACGTTCTATACGACGCGGCAGTCCAATATTTTGATGTAAATAGTTTAAATATTATATAATACATGTAAATGTCATACAGTTAGGTTTAACAAGTGCACAACTTCTAGATGCGTTCTAAAAATAAAAAGACTTACAAGTTTTCAAGTGACATGCTAAATTTAACATTTAACGAGCAAAATGTAGCACATAAGTTAACATATGTGTAGTTAAGTTAAGCCACAACCAAAAACCAGTGTTGCATAACGCATTCACATAGACTAGTCATCAAACATTACTAATATTAACTAAATACTACCTTAAAAACAAATAACGCCAAAGCCCAGTTGCATTCTATTTCAAGCAAACACAAAAACACTCTCAACTCAATTCGATCACTCGATTCTCTTAACATCACCTGCCAACACTTAAGAAATTCATCACTTGCCAACACATAAGAAATTCAACTCGCACAAATTGAAAATAAATAATGACAAAAAATTATAAATCATAACACATATCTTCAAACAAAAACGGTGGCCATTATGCCGACCTAATTCTAACAATCAAAGCAAGAAAAGGAAAACTCCAATTATCATTTCTAAGATGAAGAACAAACGTACATATATACAAAATGTAAATACGAATCATTTAAAATCGAAGATCAGTGAACACCGCAAAACCCCTTACTTTATAGAGCTAAGTGGACACACACGCACACACACACAAACACACACATTAAAAATTAGCAAAGAGCATGAAATGAAATCAACCACAAATTCTAAATGCGTTTAAAGTAAGACTTTAAGAACAATTTGCTGTAGTGCAGACCAGTGAAGGTTAAAACATGCCCAAATCCAAACGCCAAGAAACGAAAAACCGCAAATAAAACGAAAAGAAACAAAATGATGCAGAAGATGAAATTATAATGCATAAGTAAAAACTTAGTCAAATAATTATACAAAATAGTTGAAATAATTGTTGTATTGCCATCAACCCGAAACAAAACGAAAACAAAAAGAAAACCCAAAGCAAATGTGTAAGACCCCTCAGAATAATGAAAATGTTTGTGAAATGTTTATAAATGAAAAAACAAAAAAAAAAAACTAAAAAAACTGGCATGTTTAAATAAAAACCCAAATTTAAAATGTACATTTAACAAAATCTTGTTTCTAATTTAACACAATAACAGCATTTGTCCCTTAGCCTTGTCAGTTTTATTATTAATATACATTTATTTTATATTAATTTAATTTTTATTTATATTTTATTTTTTAGAACGGTTTTGCCCCTTCTATAGCCCAAGTCTCACCAGCGCAAATTGGATTTGAAGTGTACATAGTAAAAATATTGGACAAAATACAGCGAATTTTATTTCGTATACACAAAATAAGTCTACTTTATTTTATTTATTCTGCACAATTCTTCGTTTGCTTCTCTTTGAACTTAGCATTATTGCTAATGTTATGTTTGAAATTTAACAGTTCTTAACTTTTTGCTGCTCTGTACACGGCAAAACAGTTTTAGGAGTAACATTCCCATAAAAAACGGCACAAAGCAGTAAAATTCATTATGACTGTTAACTTAACAGTTGTTTCTCATGGTTTATACAAGCTGTTTACTGCTTGCTGGTTAGTAAATAACATAAAAGAGTTCTAAGGCTAACATACTTAGGTTACTTAGCAGTTACAGATTGCTTTGAAATCTCAACTGCTTGGTTGAACACGTACAAGTAAGCAGTTCACACAATATTAACAGCTCGAATGCAGGCAACAATTACATATGGATTTGAATTGAGATATTGAAACATATATTTCAATACTTTTTCGGAGGATTTTTTTATCTTTAATTTAGTTTTACAGTCCTTAAAACTAACAGCACTAAGCATCATCTGCCAGTTGCATACACCTTAATTGTTAATTGAATTGATTTTAATCATCATACGAATTAGACCGTTCTATATAATAGCAAACGTTTTCTCGCACACACCAAAAATACCGTGCCATACGGCAGCAAGTAGAGATAGTTATAGACAAAGAGTGAGGGTGAGTATGGTACAGACACTTTAAGCGCTAAATTGCCGACTAATTTTGGCTCGATCGTTCCGATAATCATAGGAAAGATCGCGTGTCTTTCGTATCAATTGCATGTCCAGCTGTTTGCAGTTATTTTCGCTGACCTTTAAATAGTCGCAGTCATGAATCCGGCTGCATTAGTTCCCTCAGAATGCTGGACCTCAACGCCAATCCAACGACTAGCTACAATGCCGAGCTCAAAATCTGGTCCGGCGCTCGTGAGCAGAGCTATTACAATGATGACCTGACCATTGGTCAAATCATATTCAGGCAGCTGCAGAACGAACCGCAACGCATCTTTCAGATCTCGCATAGCGAAAATACGCGTCTTACCCGCTCCCAGATGCTGCACAATGCGGCCAAGGTGAGTGTCTATCTAGGGGCGCAGGGATATCGCAAGGAAACGGATATTGTCGGCTTGGTAGCCAGAAATAGCACACATTTGGCTGCCCTCGCCTATGGCTGTCTGTTCAATGGAACGCCTTTTCATGCCATCAATCCGAATCTGGAGGAGCACACAATGCGAAACCTGTTTGGTATAACCAAGCCGAGGATTATCTGCTGTGATGCACAGGATTATGAGAAACTTCGAAAAATTGCATCAGCATTGGGTACTAAAATTTTAATCATACATGGACGCATGGCGGGTGTCATGAACATCCAGGAGCTGTTGCAAGCAACTATCCCGGAGGATTACAGGCCAGCCCAGTTTCAACGCGGCATCGATCGCATCATGGCCATACTCTGCTCCTCGGGCACAACAGGCACCCCCAAAGCGGTCACCATATCAAATAGTCGCAAGATATTCGAGAGTCATAGGTAGGATGTGTTCTTTAAATACCCTACACCCATAAGAAATTAGTCAAATCAAGGAAGTCTAGGTTTAATAGAAGAAGCACAAGAAATTTATGCACATAAAAGACGGACATTCTTGATTAGAACATCCTATTGCTATTTGTGGTTCATCTGTATAGTTAATATTTCTCTAGCTATCTGGACCCCAATGACATACAATATGCGCCGAGCACTCTGGACTGGCTAACGGGCTTGATCACCCTGGTTACGGCTGGGGTCTATGGCACAGTGCGTCTCATTTCCATGGAGGTTTTCAGTCCCGCACACTTTCTAGCCATGTGCGAGCAGCAGAGCATCAGCTGGGCGGTGCTGGCCGCCTCACATATCGCCATGCTTGCCAATTGTCCCGGGATAAGCGCAAAGCAGGTGCGCAGTTTGCGGCATTTGCTCTTCGCTGGTGGCCACACCCTGGTCGCAACGCTGCACAAGATGCAGTCACATCTGCGCGGCGAGGGCATCCTGCGCAATGCCTATGGCATGACAGAGCTGGGCACCTGCATCTCCTATAACCACAGCATTCACACGAAGCCCAAATCTGTGGGTCTTCTCGTGGCCAACGTACGTTTGCGCGTGGTGAACGCGTCATCGGAGGCAGTGGGTCCAAATGAACATGGGGAGCTATATTGCCACAATGGACAGCACTGGAGTGGCTATTATGGCAACCGCCTGGCCACAGCTGAGATGAAGGACACGGAGGGCTGGTTCCACACTGGCGATTTGGGCTACTTCGATGAGGATAACTATCTGCACATTGTAGAGCGCAAGAAGGATATGCTCAAGTATCTGGGCATGATGTACTATCCGCATGAGATCGAGGAGATCATCGCCCAAATGCCCCAAGTCGCCGAGGTGTGCGTCTTTGGCATTTGGAATGAGACCGACGGCGATGCAGCAGCTGCCTCGGTGGTGCCCAGACCGGGTAGTCAACTGCACTCCGCTCAGGTGGTGCAATTTGTAGCCGAGCTTATCAGTGTAAACTATAAACAGTTGAATGGAGGTGCACAGATTGTGCACCAGCTGGCGAAGAGCGCCAATGGCAAGGTTAATCGTCAGGCCGTGAAGGCCGCCTATCTAATAGCAGCTGGGAAAACAGAGATAACTGATTCATAATAGGTTGCTCCCAAGGTTTGATAAGGTTGCGAACACTTAATGTGTTCCAATCGGGAGTGCTTGACTAGTAAATACCCTATGATAACAATTCAATAAAGTATTACAAAATCAATAAATGTATTAAAAGTAAGTCGAATGTGTATTAAATAAATAATTATTTAAAAAATATAATATTATGGATGAACATAACATCCACTAAACCGCATTAGAAACTGTAGGTTCCATTCGTATCAAGGTCATGTCCAGGTTAGATTATATTTTTCATTTGTATGCTCATGTAGAGGGTATTTTAATTTTACCTTGAAATGTGTGTATGTTTCTCACCGGGGCCAATTTCGGAGTCGATATAGCTAGGTCCGTCTGTCTCTCTGTCCGTCTACATCCATGCAAACTACCCTCTTTGCTTTCGTCACGACATCGATTTACTAAAGTAAGTTAATATTTCGGAAGCGGCGGTTAAAACTATTCGACTGTCTTAATTATATGTACACACTATAAAAACACCGGATCGAATGTTACCAAACCTGTTTGGCCTCAATGAGATGAAACTATGCGCATATGCTTATTTGGACATGACTTTAAAGCAAGCAAAACAAATATATATCTGAATATATTTGTTATCTAAATGGCACACGAATTTAGTTAAGATAAGAGTGTAAGCAAGTGAGCCAAAGTTGTGCATTGTCATATAACTACGTAACAGAACTCGTGAGAATCTTAAGAAAATTACAAATAAGACCACATGGTAGCAGTGAAAATAATGATACAGCACAAAGATTGGACATATCATCATATCATTGTTTTTGCGTTACATATCAGTTGATTACATCATCGCTACGATGGTTATCAACGAGTTAGCATGGAAAGTTTACACGAGCTGATAGTGTAATGCGTACCCTACAAAAAACAATGATATGCAAATGTATGTGATCTTAACCATCCCCAAGGTCAACAAATTTCAGCACGCAGCAATATTCTTGCTTTTAGTTAGAGGTATGATAAATATGAAGCGGTGTAGGCTTGGGCTTTAGTATGATAATTTTGGAAAATTTAAGAGTAAGATAATGAAAAGCTTATTGGAATGATCTTATATGATTATATCACCAAATTTATAACAGGCGATTCTCATTCACACCCATTTTATAATCAATAAAATAATTAAATTGGAATTTTTAATAATAAATACCCTAACAGCATTTGCACGAGACCTCGCCTTACGTTAACGACTCATGATTAGCTAAACAGTTTCAATTACTCAGCTTGTAAAATAATTGGCAGTCGAGTGAATACGTGAGTGTACCACATAAACATACTATATGTTTTTTATGTACTGACAGATTAGACTCTTTACAAGCTACTCAGAAAATATGATTCGGAGAGCGCTGCACTTGTTATCTAAGCTTCACGAGTATAAAATGCAACTAGTTACGGCTTTGGCTCAGCATTTAATAAAGTTGACTCGCTGCGTTTACAATGCCTTACAAACCGGAAAGCAGCTACGATTCAGTGGGTAGAATCTGGAGTGGACAAGATGATCGAGCCTACTTTTCACCCCAACAATCAATTGGTGAGATCATCTTCCATGAAATGCGGCGGCATCCGAAGCTCATAGCTCAAGTAACTACTCAGGTGCCCAGATCATACATTACATAATACTAAGAAGTGTATCTCCCGATTAGATCTCCGACTCTGAAAACACTGTGTTGACCCGGCAGGAGCTCCATTTAAACTCGATGCGCGTGGCCAGCTATATGAGATCCTTGGGCCTACAGCAATCGGACATTGTGGGAATCATAGCGAGAAATACTACTCACATCTGCGCCGTGGCCTATGCATGTTTTTTCAATGGAATTGCCTTCCACTCGCTCAACATCATCTACGAGCAGGCGACCATTGAGAAGCTATTTGATATTACGAAGCCGCGTCTAATATTTTGCGATGGTGAAGACTATGAGAAAGTGAAATCAGCGACGGAAAACTTAAACGTGAAGATTATTACAATGCGTAACCATCAGATCGGATCCATTAGCATTGAGGAAGTGCTGGCTACGCCTGTAGAAGCGAACTTTGAACCCTCTCGTCTTGAGCAGGGAAATGATCAAACTCTGGCCATTCTCTGCTCCTCAGGCACCACGGGCATACCCAAGGCAGTGACCATCACGAACAGTCGCAAGATCCTAAACTGCACCAAGTAAGTAATGTCAAACTTTTAATCCATTATCCATAATAACCCGAACCTCTTAAAGTTACTTGACCACCGAAGACGTTCAGTTTTCGCTGAGCTCTCTAGATTGGGTGACAGGATTACTTACAGCAATAAGTTCAGGAGTGTACAGCACGAAACGAATTATAAGTACAAAACCCTTGGATCTTGTGGATTTTCTGCGAATCATTGAGGAGCACAAAGTCACGTGGGTATTACAGGCACCTTCCCACATGGCCATGTTGGTTAACTGCGCGGAATTCGAGAAAGCCAACCTGCAGAGTATTCGCTTCTATCTGTACGGAGGAAGTCGGTGCTCCTTAGAGGTGCAACAACGCCTACGAAGGCATCTGCGGAAAGACTGCCTTCATTTGGTGTACGGATTCACGGAGGCAGGCAGCATGGTGGCCATGAACTGGAACTTTGATGAAAAACCCAATTCCGTAGGTCGCTTGGGAGACGGTTATAAGCTTAAGATATTGAACGAACAGGGAGAGACTGTCGGACCGAACGAAGTGGGAGAGATATGCGTTTATAGTGGCCAATATTGGGCCGGATATTATGGAAATCCCGAGGAAACTCACAATGTATGCGACTCAGAGCAGTGGATGCACACTGGCGACTTGGGCTACATGGATGACGATTGTTTCCTCTACATAGTTGATCGAAAAAAAGATATGCTTAAGTACCAGAATATAATGTACTATCCACATGAAATCGAAGAGGTCATCTCCCAGATGCCAGGTGTGGCAGAAGTCTGTGTGTTTGGAATTTGGGATGAAACCAATGGCGACGAGGCGGCTGCTGCTGTGGTCAAGAGAATCGGAACAGATATACAAGCCGAGGATGTGGTGGACTATGTGCGGAAGCATATCTCTGTAAGTTACAAGCATTTGCATGCAGGTGCCATCATCGTGGACGATCTGCAGAGGAGCGCCAATGGCAAAACCAATCGGCAAGCTACAAAGAATTATTTTATAGAAGTTAAGAACAAATGACAAAGCGCATGCTTAAAACTTTTACTGATTTAAAAAATAAAAACATCAAAAAAGCACATATTTATCTTGAACGTAGATATCCAAAAACAGTTCAATCACAAACTGCTTGCTTTGTGGCCTGATTGCAAGCAGTTCAGTCCTTGCCAGGCGGTTAAATTTGCCAGGAGATAAACGAGAATAAGAGAAAAACTGGTAACTTTTTTAAATTTACATGTAGATAGTAGCACGGCCAACAACAGACTGTGTTACCAACTCGAGTAAGACTTTTGGCGAGTCACGATTAGCTCAACAATTCTATAATAAAATTACATGCCATATTTACATATATATTCGCTTTAATAGGCTACACGTTTGCTGTTAAGCTTTTTTTTCAATTTGTAAAATGAATTGGAGTGAACTACTGTTATCTAAGATTTAAATGCACGCTATCTGTGTGTATAAAAAGGCTGCCAGATTCACTTTCGTGTCATCAGTTAATAAAGTCAACTAGTTGCTTTCACAATGTCTTACAAGCCGGAGAGCACTTACGATGCGGAGCGCAAAATCTGGAGTGGAAAAGATGAATGTGAATACTTTGCACCCCATCTGTCCATTGGGGAGATCATTTTTCATGAAATGCGACGTCATCCAAAGCTGATAGCTCAAGTAAGTACTTAGCTGCGCAATCTATTGATCACCTTCTTAACAGCTTTGTGTTTCCCGACTAGATCTCGGACACTGAAAACACTGTACTGACAAGGGAGGAGCTCCATTTGAATTCGATGCGCGTGGCCAGCTATATGAGATCCTTGGGTTTGCAGCAATCAGACATTGTGGGAATAATAGCGCGAAATACAACACACATCTTTGCCGTGGCCTATGCATGTTTTTTCAATGGGATTGCCTTCCACTCACTCAACATCACCTATGAGAAAACGACCATTGAGAAGCTCTTTGACATTACGAAGCCACGTTTAATATTTTGCGATGGTGAAGACTATGAGAAAGTGAAATTGGCTACGGAAAACTTAAGCGTGAAGATTATCACAATGCGTAACCATCAGATCGGATCCACTAGCATTGAGGAAGTGCTGTCTACGCCTGTAGAAGCGAACTTTCAACCCGCTCGTCTTGAGCAGGGAAATGATCAAACTCTGGCCATTCTCTGCTCCTCAGGCACCACGGGCATACCCAAAGCAGTAACCATCACCAATAGTCGCAGGATCCTAAACATGAACACGTAAGTCAAGTCAACAAAATAACAAAAAATATATTTAACATACTTATTTCGAACAATCTTAGAAATCTGACCACAGCTGACGTTCAGTACACGCACAGTTCTTTAGACTGGGTGACAGGAGTTCTGACCACGGTCACTTCGGGAATATACAGCACCAAACGCATTATAGCCGATAATCCCTTCGATCCTGCGCGTCTTCTGCGCATTATTGAGGAGCACAAAGTCACGTGGCTGATGCAGGCACCTTCCCACTTGGCTATGACTGCCAATTGCCCTGAATTTGAACAATCCAACCTGCAAAGCTTACAGCACTACTTTTACGGAGGTGGTCACTGCTCCTTGGACGCGCAACATAAAATAAGGAGTCGTTTGCAACGCGATTGCATGCATTTAATGTACGGTTTTACAGAGGTAGGAAGTGCTATAGCCGTAAACTTTAACTTTGACGAGAAACCTAAATCGGTTGGACAACTGCTGGATGGCTTCAAGCTGAAGATAATTGATGATCAGGGACAGCCCCTAGGACCAAACGAAGTTGGCGAAATATGCGTCTATTCTGGTCAATATTGGGCCGGTTATTACGGAAATCCTGAAGAGACAAACAAAATACTTGACTCGACTCTATGGTTTCACAGTGGCGACCTTGGTTACATGGATGACGAGGGTTTCCTC